TTTCCCTTTTAAAATTGCTCTATTTCTTTAGCATATAGGTGCCAAAATCAAATACCTATGGGCTATATTTCTTAAGATGATAATAGCTTAGAATAACATTTTTAATTCAGTATGATTAATAGTATCATGAGTAAGAGTCTATTAAAATGTTCCACAGTCCCAGCGATCCTCTTACATAAGCTAGATTTGGGCCATGGAGCTGAAGTATGATATGCTTGCCTTTCATTGTTGGGTTTCTTAAGTCAAATAGTCTGAAAGCAATGGAATCAAAAACTGAAATACCTGGTAAATATTAACTTACTATGTTAAGTGAATTTATGAATTGATTTACTAAATCTGTTTATAAATCCCTTTCCTTCGAGAGACTCTTTATTTTATGGTTTCCAGAAAAATAATCTCTAAGTTTACATAATTTAAGCCTTCGAACTCCAGCACTAGATGTTATAATTATGAAATAGTAAAAAAGAAACTAATTTCAAAATGGTTACGGATTGTAGAGTTTGATAGCCAGTGTTTTCAGAAGTAAAACTGAGAGGCAAGAGGTCTTGCTCATTTTGCATATGTGCTTGCCTGCTCACAGCTGTCTTTTCAGCACTGTGTTTGTTATAACCCCACAAAGCATTCACTAACTGACTAGGCACAAACACTTCAGTATTTCCGTGTATTCATACATATGCTCAGAAAATAAAACACATGGCTTTTTGTTTGAAAAAATGAGATTGTGGAGGATGTTTACCCTCAGTTTGCATACTGGGAGGTCTTGAAAAGATAGCCAGGTTTGAATTAATTATTTTTAATAATATATAAGCAAAGAAAATCCCCATGGTAACAACTCACATTGCATCAGAATTTAAGTGATACTTAACTTCGGCATTTCTGGTTTCTCTACTCTTTCAAGTAGTTATACATTTCTCTCCCTTTCCTTCTCTCTCTCTCATATAAACTGGATATATAATGTCTTTCTTTTGAGTCACTGATTATCACTGATATGCTACCAAGTTGTATAATAGAGTAACAAAAACTTGTGATTTGACAATGAATTTTCTACAATATTACCTCAGCTAGAAGAGGTGTGTTGTCTGTATTTTAAGTTTTTGTCTCACTGGTACTTTAAGTGTTTTCAGTAAATTGTGTAATATGAAAAGGTTAAATAAAATGTTGAAATAAAATCACTAATTTTCTCTTACTGATGCTAGAGAACTACTAAGGCTGGTGGTGTAGGTGTTCAGAATATGTCCCCCCAAAATATGCTGTGTTGGCATATTGATTATTTTGTATTAAAGGTGCTTGAGAAACAGCGGGTGCAAAAGGACACTCTGACCCTCCTTTGTTCCCCTGAAAGCAAATTGCCCATGTGAAAGGTAGCCTCCCTGTACCAGAAGAGAGAATCTAGGGCTGAGAAAACTGTATAAATAAACCTTGTTACTTCTTCACCATTTATTACCCCACCACAAACCCCTCTGCCTATCAATTCCTCACAAATTTACTGTTTCTTCGTCTAAACGTTATAAAAGCTTTCAGCTCCGGTTCCCTTCTTTGAATCTCATTTTATGGGGATCTGGTACATACAAAATTAAATTTGTCTCCTGTTAACCTGTCTCATGTCAATTAAGTTATTAGACCAGCCAAAGACCTAGAAGGGAAGAAGGGAAGATTTTTCTACACCTACAGGGGTAAAAGAAAAGTTCACTTTTGTAGGTACAAATGAAGATCAAGAAAAAAATACAAAGTTAAATTTTTTGCCCATCATTTAAAAAATCATTCTGATGAAACTGTGATGTGTAGAAAACAAGTAACATATTTCCTTACATAAGATTGCCTATGTATCATCTCTGGTATTACACAGTCCCATATTTGGTCCTTACAACTGTCCTCAGGCAATTTTCTGAGTAGTGCTGTTTAGGGAAGAAATAGATATAAATGGTGGGCATTGCTTGAAAACACTAAGGAAATCAAAAAAACCCTTCAGCCACCTAGGGCTAAGAATAACAGTTGAGACATGTAAGAAACCCCCTAAAGATAGGGAGGAAAAGCCAGCGAGATGGTTTCTTTGGGAAGTTAGGGCGTTCCAAAGTGGACATGTATACTAGGGAATTTAGAAAGCCACTCACATACCCAGGACAGGACACGTTCTCGGAAAAGAACTGAGAAGACCCTGAACTTTCACTACTGGATAATCTAAAAACTCAGTATAAGCAGGAAGTGAAAGTTGAGGCAAAGTTGTAAAGAGCCTGGCTAAGGGTTAAAGGGGTACCCCAATACAGAGCCAATCCACCAAGTTAAGCAACAAACTAAATACAAAGCCAGAAATCAAACCTAGGTCTGGTAATCTAGTTCAGTGTCCTACCATAATGGGACCTCTCAGAGTCACGAATAGCTGGTCTAATAATATCTGCCCTTTAGGAAAACAACAATGACTAACATTTACTGAGCACTTAGTATCATACCCAGATCATTAAGAATTCCAATGCATTAACTCATGTATTCCCTACAGCAACCTTGTGAATGAAGTAGTTACTGGTAGTATCTTCACTTTACAAATGCAGGAACTGAAGCGGGGAATTTAAGAGTTTTGCCCAAGATCATTAGGTTAGTAAGTAGCATAGCTCAGATTTGACACACCTCGCTTAATCCTAGCCTGCTTACCAGGTCAAAGTTTGCCTTGCTTTAAATAATGACCTTCAACAGAAGAAATGAAGGACACCACTGTTCTCACTCACTAGTGAATTAATTCTCAGCTTAATCTGTACTGGTGTGTGCATGGGAAGGCTCTCGAGAGCTCTTGGATGGGTCCTTCCACAGTCCTCCCCATTCTCCTCCCTTCTCCAGGATGGAAACAAGCTTCCTCTTTTTCTTGAGCTTTCATAGCCAGCCTCTTAATTCTTTCTTATAGTATATGAACTTTCTAGCTTGTAGTTTCTGTGAGCAACTCTTAAAT